CTGAAGTTCATTTTTGCAGTGGGGGAATCACTTAACTGTGGCAGGGATGCATAAGGAATGAAACCATATAAAAGGGGTACCCTCCATTTACTAGTTTATGTAGCATGAACTGCTGAGCATTTTCAGATTATTCTTTGAGTACTTGAAGATTTACCCTTCAAATTTACAGATAATTAGAGACTTTGGAGATGATAACAGGGTATAATATTGTTAACAGTCCTAGGGGAACTTCCCTCAACAAAGGCCTCTTCTTGAGTGGATATGCCAACAAACAATTCTTTGCTTATTTTTCTCTGGACAAGTATAGTCCCTTGAGAGACTGGAGGTTTTTTGGGTGGGGTATTCCCGATAGTATAGTAAGTGTTTTGGTGTGTCTTATTTTATAAACTTCCAAATAAGTTATTTCTAGGTGAAAATAGAAACATGAAAATTAACATGAAATATCCTGTTGATTCCAAGATTTTAAGCTTATAATTAAGATCTTCAAGGTTCTACAGACCTTTGCAAGTTCTCAGTGGAGTCTGTCACCCAGAAGACAAGGTTCTGTGTCAGATGCCTCTGCCACTTGAAGCCCCTTCTTTCAATGACCTCTAAGCCAAGGTGTCTTACCCACCATGCTCATTGGTTTTTCCATTTTAGAGCTGTTCACATGCTTCTGGATTTGCCTGGCACAGGAGAGACTCACTTGATGTCATCAGATTCCTATATAATGTTCTGTGTGGAAGCAGCTGGGAGCCACCGATATTCAGTCCACATGGCAATATCCCAACTGTGATTCACTAAGTCAGCATCATGCTTGCTTACTGCTGTCCACCATGCTGTAGGCAGGGGAAAAATCAACAGGGACAAAAGAGGAGAAAAGTCCTTTCCTCAGTGGCACTTACATCTTCTGATGATCTCATTTACAAGTAAGTGAGGGGTCAAATCATAGGAAGAAGTTTAAATGGGAGACTGAGGTGATGGGCAAATTAGGGTGGTTTCATGTGGTGTGAGGGGAAGACGCTGGAGAACAGCACTGTCCATGGGGTGATTAGCCACGCAGGATTGGCCTGAGGGAATCTGTGATGCAGAAAGCAGCAGAGCCATGGCTCTCAGATAGACGTACAAGTAGGTTGTGAGCTCTGGAAGACACACACTTTGTTCCTGGCTAAAGATCCCAGGCCTGTTCTCTGTGAGCTTGTCTTCTATATCCTATGCCCAGGATGCACGGTCGTAACTGAACTGTAGGCCAGCCATGCCAAGCAGCAGACATCAATGCAGTAGTCACTGGTCATCCCATCTCTTGGAGTCACTCATGTCTTCTACATACTCCAGGGTACCAAAAAACCCGGGGACTAGCAGCATATGATGGAAGTCAAGGCATATCACTTTTGAGATCAGATTATAAAAACATCAAGGTTTCCCTGCCTCTTTCTTCTGTTCTCTCCTCCTACAGTTCTGAGAGAAGCCAACTGCAACTTGAGAGTAGCTTATACATCCACCAGCCAAACCTGTCACCCACAGCCGGCAAAACACCCTTGTGGAGAAACGGATAATGATTCACAGGACTAGGTATTAATATTAAATATAATTTATTTCGGGGAGAAGTCACTTACAGAAGAAACAGATGTCCACCATAGGTTCCTGCTCTAAGGATCTACACCGGCTGCTCTTCCATGACCCGCCCGAAAGAAAGAAATAGCCACCTGCCCAGAACCCAGACCTAAAACTCACCCCCATCACTTACTCACCCATGACCATGACCAAACAGGCTACAGGAACAGGCAGGGTGGGTATCTCACTACAATTCCCCTTTTAGTCTAAAGAAAAAGATTTAGGCTTGATACAAAACTACATACAAAGACAGCAGCTTTCAAAGTATGCTCCAGGAGAAGGAAAAGTAAGAACAAACACACTTAAGACCTATCGCCAGTGAAGCCGCTAGAGGGAAAGTCAAGAACTACCCACCCTAGAATGCACAGAAGCAGATCCCAGACAGAGAGGGCTCTGGGCAGCTGCAGTCCAGTCAACAGTTGGACTCTCACAGTCTAGGATGCCCTGAAGCAGACAAAGCGGCTATTTTAACCTCAACACCTGGCTGCTCTTATAACAGAAACAAAGGAAGAAAGGAAGGAATGCACAGGTAAATATCCACGAATGAAATGAGGCAAACAAAGGCAGCTTCCCTTCACATATTAATATTCATCTGAATGACTAGTTCCATACTTTTTGGTCACCACTCAGACCACTCAGTTAAGTGGATAATTGCTTGTGTTGTAAGAAAAATGGCATTATTGAATCCCCCTCCTTTTTTTTTTTACTTTGTATTATCTTCCTTTTCAGATGTTTGGTGTCCTCTGCTACCACATCCAGTACTGATCTGACTACTTCAATGAGTTTTTAAGCAAATGTTTGTGTGGTGATATATTGTTTATGTTCTAATAAAGATTGTCTGGAGATCAGAATGCAAAACTAGCCACAGCCATAGAGGCCAGGCAATGGTGGTACACACCTTTAATTCCAGCAGCCATACTAGTTAGCCATAAAAGCTGGGCAACGGTGGTGCACACCTTTAATACTAGCACCAAGATGTATACAAGACAGGAGCAGGGTCTCAGAGCAGGGAATTAGTCTCCAGCTACGTTGAGGAAAGGACTGCCCTAGGCTTGGGAGCGATAAGAGCTCTCTGGTGACTTGACTGTATTCCTTTTCTGATCTTCAGCTAAGCTTTATTAGATCATAAACAGTCTATCACCACAATGTTTGCGGATTTAACTCTCCCCACTATTTGAGACATGTAAAGGATAACCACAGGGGCAATGCAAGGAAATGGACACTTATGCTTGTGTTTTAAACCAAGACACGGATCCTAGGTTCTGCAAATAACAATCCCATCACATTGCTGCAGGAGTGTACTCTAATGTTTAATACATTGCAGTTCTTGTATATTTTGGCATTTCCTACATATTGCCAGGCATTTGTAGGCTTTAAGACAAACTGAGACAAGAAAAAATTAAAGACCCACAAACGCCCTGCAGCTTGCTTGTAATGCCAAGAAAACCATAATCTCTTAATTCCCCAGAAGCTATTTTGAAACCAAAACTGTTTTTCCCAAAACTACATTAATTTTTTATTGGAAAAGTATACTAAAGAAATGTACAAAGTTCTCTTCTACCTCTAAGTTATAGTTCCAGATGGTAATCAAATAGTGGGCTATACATGGAAACAGTTTACTTTATTCAACAGATGTAGTTTTTATTCCATAGATGTCAAAACCAAAGCAAAGCCCCATGCATTCTGTCTATGTTTTGCTTCTTAGATTCTTGTTGACATAGCATAAAACAAACATTCTGAATTACAAATACCCCTGAACATGCTTTTTTTAATATAAAAGTTATAGCTGTGACATACACAGCAGTCTACCAAAGACACCCAGCGTCCTTTTCTAAGAAACTCTGACAAAGTTTTACATTCCCAAACAGTCCAGACACATTGTTCAACCTCATTTAATTTTGATTACTACTGGGCAGCCTACACAACACCCACACATCAGTTAATAGTACTGTTACTCATTGCCTACGCAGTCCATATTATCAATTTATATTAGAATATAAGTTACATATTACAACTTATGTCAAAAATACTAAAATCTGTACAACCCGCATTAGGTGTATTTTGTATTTTAAACTGAAGTCCTTATACGAGGCCATTGCGACTTCTCCTCTGCACACTCAGGGTTTTCTCCTAGAAATGAATGTGTGTAATCAGATGTAAGCAATCACTGCTCTTCCGTCTTGGTTTATGGTCCACCTAGATGTGTTTTTGCCTTTAAGGCAACAAGCAAAGGCTATCCAGATGAAACAGTAGCAATAGCTTTCTGGAGACCAGCACTTGACCGCACACCACCTCATATCTCCCTGTCTAGGATTCCAGTCCAGGAAAGGCATTACTTACACATAGGAAGCTGCAGTATGGAGCATACACCTCCTTTTGAAGCTTTCTTCTTAACTGCCACATGGGGAGAATCACACACATGGTTCTCCATGTGTCTGTCTGTAGTAGATTCCAGAGCATGGTTGGGACTCCCCAACAAATACACCCATTGCATAGCAGTGATGAAATGTTCATGCATTGCATCCCATGTAATTGAGCTTGCTAATTTATCAGTATATTTAGCCTTATTTGCTCAGGGAATAAATTTAAAAAGGAAAAAATTAAGGTTAAGTTTCAGTTCAGCAGGGGAAAGTGTCTAAGCCTTGTTGAAAGTTTGGAAATATACTGATAACTTGATGTCTTGCAGAACTAAAGGAAAGCAATAAACACTAACGCAGTACACAGACAAGGCATATCACTTTATGTGAGTGAAAAATATTGCAAATATATTTTAATCTTGAAAATCAATTATTCTCATATAACACAAACACTATTACTATACATGAATGAAGGAAAGCAGGGGGAAACAGCATTTTACAAAGCTGCATAAAGTTAGCTTTTGCTTTAAAATGTCCTGTATATTTATACAAACCATCTTTTTAAATAGACCGGCAAAATGCAACAGTTTATAAGAATATGTGACTATAACCACTCCTTCCCCCCTTTTTTTACTTTCATAACCACGTTAGGAACTCTTGAAAATTTTTAACCTTTTTTTCCCCTTAAAAAATCTCTGGCTTTGCTGCAGGTCTATAAACCATCACAACCCACAGTTTAACCTGCAGAGTGGAGCCCCCTAGGCTGAAACTTGGGAAACCTTTGTTAAGAATGACAGAGATACTGGTTTAGACTCTTGGCAAGGCCCTCCAGCCATGAGCAAGACCTCTGCCATTGTGCAAGTTTGCAAAGCAGGAAGTCTACTAGTTCATACAAACCCACACAGTTTACTGTAGAATTTGACCTTTAGTGAGAATGCATAGAACAATTCAGTAAAAATGGCACAGCTGTCAGAGTAAAAGTGAGAAGCCATTTTTTTCCTAGTAGTGAAAAATCACAACAGAAGCTTTGAAAACAATGTAGTCACTTACTTTGGTAGAGTTTTCAAGTGATTTTCTCTTAACTCCAAGATCCTCAATTTGACAAGTCTATAAAAAAGAGTTTTAAAAATTGCTTTTCAAAAAAAATCACTATTTCTATGTAAAACACATTCACATGGCAAGGCGAACAATTACTATCACTAATTAGGGAGAAATATTCAGCTGTTTTTAGTATTTTATCAGAGATCATTTATTTAATTATTTCTAATGTGTATGCGTATTTTGCTTTCATGTACACCTGTGTACCACGCATGTGCTCGTGCAGATTTTAAACAAATATTCAAACCGATGATGAGCAGGGTTTCATCAGCACTGGCCAATGACAAAACATTTTATGAAACCTAAAGATATTTGATTATATCTTTTAATCCCAGCCTCCCGATTTTCTAATGTTTTCATAAAAGTACATTCACTTTTATGTCTAATAAGCATATGTGTTGAACAGGTTGTTGTTGACTCTCTTTTAAATTTCAGGTGTTACATTCATTGGGATATAGCAAGGCTTTTCACTGAGGGGTTGTAGACAGACCTGAAAGGTAGACAGAGGAAAGAGCCTTCAGCTTGGCGTGAAGAGAGATGAGTGCATGTTTTGTCTCTGTGACATTGTTCAAGTTAATCAACACCATTGCCCTCCTAACTAGCTTCGGTTTCCTCATCCACAGCCCTGACTCCTCGGGGCTGAATACTTTAAATGGTGCCAAGCACCTAACACACGGTTCTGCACATCAGAAGTTGTGGTAAGTGCTGTTCTTTCTGATCTCACTAGAGACACCGTGTATGTGCTTGGGATCTTCTCCTGCCTGTGAGTGTCGAGCGGAGGGCACAGTTCTCATCTTCTTGCTGCTTAGGTTACCAAGGTGTTCCAGAAGGGCACCTCGCACATGATGACAGAAGGGTTGCCACCAGGAGCACACTGCTGTACAAAACCAGACTGAATCTTGTGTTTGTTTCCCACAAAGTTACTGTAAAACAAATACTAGTTGGATTTCCTAAAATGTTAATTTTTAAGGGAAAAATATCTCACTATTTAAACAATTTCACGTATTATATATCTTTTGCCTGCTTTAGTTCTTTATCTAACAACTTGAACTATCATCATCATCTTTAATGTATTTACCTAACAACTTCACCTATTATCTATCTTTAATATGCTTTTAGGTATTTATCTAAGCCTCTTTCTTTTTCCTTTTCTTCCTCTCAAGATCTCAACTTTAATTAAATTTTTTTATGAAATAGTATGCTTCAATACACAAAAGCTCCACTCATGAGTGTTCCTTAGATATCTGAAAATTTCACATCCCAATGACTGTGTTAGTGTGATGGTGTAGATCTTTTCAGTCTTTTAAGGGTACAAAGTTTCAGACTGGAAGAGAATTTGAGCATCCTATTATCAAACCACCTAGCTGAAGGCTAAAAAAACTGCTTAGATTATGAGTTATTATAAGCAAACATTTTGTTATTAAGCACCTTACACAAAACTTAAATTCTGATTCAAAGTAGCTTTTGTATTGTCATTATGTGTCCTCTAGCTCTAAACCTTATGCTCATTTTAGGACTACTTAAAGAGAAATGATAAAAACAAAAAATTCAAGACAAAAAGTATCTTAGGGAATTATAATATTTTGTTATTTGTTCATTTTGAAGCACATTGCAAAGTAGTTGATACACAAAGGATAATTTTAGTTTATAAGGGTAGATGGATCTGGGAAAAACACTCTTTTACAAATTCATAACTAAAATAATTTCCTTTGTGTGTATGGCTCAGGGTGCTGTGATATCTTCATTCATAGAAGTGAAGGAGTCTGGGACATCTTACTGCATTTACAGTATGAAAGGGAGATCACTGTGTGTTGGATGACTTCATCACCCTACTTAATGTCCTACTCATCCTTGTCAAGAGGCAAGTGCTGAATTATGCCCAGTTAATCATTTGCACAGTTTCAAAGTGATTAGCCAAAGCTGGCAATGATGTTGGAATGTCTTTTGTGTTTAGGACACATATGTTACACAACAAATACTCTTGGAAGATACTGAAACAAATTATGAATGAATATCAAAGTCATCTAGAATTTCATCCTTTTATCTCATGCATTCACATTAGAAAAACAGTTTATATATTTTCCATGACACCTTCCTAGACTTATCTGGGGTTAGAAAGTGTTTTCTAAGACCATCAATTTCTGCACAGAATTGTCACACAGGAGTACCACAGTAGAGTTAGCCCAACTCCTATGTGATTTCATGGTCTTCATTTAGAAAATAATGAAAAATTTACTTTCCACAAACCCAAAAATAGTATGAGATATTCTTAGTAATAAATTTCAACTGCAATGGTCATAGCTACTTTTAAACTTCTTAGAGCATATATCACTACCCTCAATTATGTAAGTTGGTTTCAGAAGCTAGGACAAGTGAAACTCTTTCATTTATTTGTATTGTATTGAATAGTTGTGGAAATAGACATTTCTCCTGTATTCACTATCTCTTTCCATTTTATCACAAACTGCCTATGCAGTTACCTATATATTTCCCTGTATGATTGGCTTTATGCTCACATGTAAGGAGTCTATATATTAAGGATGTTATTTGTTTTTCTTATATAATGAAAAAATTTCTACTTTTTTATGGTTTATGATTTATCCTACTGAAAAGCATTTATAATGCTGTCCTGGGCTGGAGAGATGGCTCAGCCATTAAAGGCTAGGCTCACAACCAAAAATATAATGCTGTCCTTTGCTTCCTACCTATGAAGGAATTTTGCAACCCAAGAGTCATGAACAGCCTGCCGCATTTTCTCATATTATTGGACTTCCTTTTTATATCTAGCTTTAATCAAATTCAACCAAAATTCTTTGATGATGTGTGAAAATATAATTTTATGTTAATTATAGAAAATTTAATTAAAATTTATTGTGTATTAATGAGACCCAACTTTAATTAGCATGGTCACTCACATCCTGGTACTGGTGAGGCACTTAGCAGAGGCAAAATGAAATTACACAGGTTATATCTCTCATGCTTACCTTCCAAAATTAGCTGGAAGAAATTCAAGGAAGGCATCATTCAGGTAGAGCTGGGTCAGGTTAAGAAGCTGTGTGAAGCCATCGGGTAGTCTAAAAGGGAGTTAAAGTTTTAGTCAGTGCGTCAATGTTGCTACAGAAACAGCAAAAATATATATCTTAGAGAAGGAAAAAGAGAAATGAAGTATGTCTTCTAACTTTCCTTTGCTGTGAGTAATGGAAGAATTTATTGAGCTAACAACTACAGCTGGAAGTTTTTAAAAAAATTTTCCTGTTATTAAAATAAATGGTCCCTTTCCCCCTCCATGCTTCTGTCTGAGCTGACACTTACATTATTCAGAGCTGGAATCTCATCCTGTTGGTTGCACCTTCTGCACCAGCCAAGACATTCTTATGGAAATCTCAAACCCAATGACAATATGGCTTTGAGATGAACAGGCCTTCCTACCAGAACAGTCACATCAAGTCAGGTGAGAACTTCTTGATGGACGTCTAACAATTTCAGTCGGTCATTAACGTCTCCCTGCAGTTTATCACCATGATGGCCAAGCCTGCCCCACATGAAAATGGACTAAACTGACTCCCACTCCAATCAATGCCAGCTTAACATGTGTACAGACGCAAAGTTGAGTTACGTCCTGTTAATTAAAGACGACCAAGAACATTGGGGAGATTTTTGAACAGAACCATAATGGCTGTAAGCAACATTGAAAAGTGAGGATAACCTTTGGTAAAATTTTAAAAATCAGATGAAATAATTTCTTGAAACATTAAATCTTTTCCCCTTTAGTTTAATTGAAATATTCTCCAGGAGACCTTTTTCTTGGTACAATATTGGATTTTTTCCTATAACTGTATTTCTATTTTAACCCTTTAATACCTTTCTCTATAATCTAGTCTGGACTTCATTCTTCTGTAAAGTATTTCTAAGCTGCCTTTTCCTCCCTTTGTAATCTTCTTCCCTATGGTGACTACCGGCATCATGTACATAGCTAACTGTGCTCACCGAAGTTGACTGCTCCAGCGCTTCTGGCCTGCTGTAATCAAGACCTTCTCTGCCTTCACTCTGCATCCCAAGATGCTTAACAACTATTGACATCACTGACAGACATTCATTCCCTTGGCTTCTACTGCAGCCTCCTCACTCCTATTCTGGAACATAACATGTGAGTTTCCCTTCATCATTTCTCTCCTTTTCCTCAAACTTTCCTATGAAATATTTTCCTCTACGTAAAGAGTAAGAGTTCACATAAAACAGAGTGAAGAAACAGAGCTTGTACTATGGATGCCACCCATGCCTTTCCATGACCACGTCTAGTCTGTCTCTCTACTGTGTAGCCTTGGTTGTCCTGGAACTCTCTCTGTAGACCACGCTGTCTTTTAACTCACAGAAATCCGCCTGCCTCTGTACCCCCCAAGTTCTGAGGCATGGGCCAGTTCCTGGCCTATCTTACAAATTCTTAAATGTTTATTATTTTACTTTTTAAGACTTTTACTGTGTATCTATTTAACTCCCTAAAAAATAAACATGTTTATTGTGCTTCCATGTCATATCCATCAAATCATATTATTTATATTTTTTTCTGGAACTTACAAAAAACAGCTTTACTGTTTTTTTCAGATTTCATTCATTTGGACAGTAAATGTTTGTCTTAGAAAACCCTGCCCTTGTGCAGACACAGCACGGCTTGTTTCCCGTTTTCCTGTAAATGAGTCTGGCAATGTGCCCTGCAAGATGGCATCTTCAGCTAGGGCCTCAGAATGCTCTAGGGGCAGTTTGCAGTTACTGTGGAGCAGGAGTGAGATAGCCCCCTCATTTGTCTGCCTTGTCTACAACTCTGGGGAATTTTGTGCCCTTGAAACATCCCCCCTGCGACTGAGTTCAGTGGAGATCTTGAATGCTTGATAATTCTTTTCCTGGGACCGTTGCCAGCATACTCTGCCTACATTTACTGCCACATCTGCTTTTTGTCAACCCAAACTAAACACAGAATTCCCTTCTTGGAAATAATTTTCTTTTGTTATTTTTTTATTAGCACACTGATTATGCAGGTGGGCAGGCTTCCACAGTGGCATCTCATTACATGTACGTTTTATCTACAGATTTTTGTCTGCTCATCTTCTGCTCCCGTCTCCGTCTCTTCTTGGGTTCCTAATAGTCTCTTTAATAGTCTCTCTGTTAGTTTCAAGTCTTCTTGTTCTTCTTTTTTTAATTCATAGAAAAAAGCTTTTCCAAAAAGAATTTCAATTTATTATGTCATTACTTCTCAAATTAAAAACCATTATTGTTATTTATTGTGTTGGAGGGGCGCACGTATGCCACAGTGTGTATGGATATCAGAGAACATCTTTGTTTTAGCCTTCTGCTTTTAAGTGGGTTCTGGGGATTAGGTTTAAGATACCAGATTTGTGGATCAAATGCTTTACCCACAGAGCCAGTTCTCTGGCTCCATTTTTTTTTGAGACAGACAGTGTCTGACTATATATATCCCAGATTGGCCTTGCATTATTATATAGCTCAGGATGGTTGCAGACCTCTCTTGCATCAGCCTCACTACTGGGGATTACTGGTATGCTACAGAAGTCCTGCTCCAACTTTGCACACAATAGTTTGATATGGACTTGTAGTGATTCTTCTTTACAAATTCCCAGGGCACTGATTTTATATTGGTTACTTCATTCTGCAATTATCTTGCTCCAGCTTGGATTTAGGGTGGGTTTGTTTTTGGATGTAGCTTCCAGGGGGGTGGGGGTGTTTTCATAAGTTCATTCTTTGGGAAAGAGGAATTCATGGAAACAGGGAAGGAGGAGAGGAGATGGTGGGGATTTTATAATGTTGAGATGAGTAGGGACTCCAGAAGGAGACTGAGTTCAAAGAGGTTCATGGGACGGTGTTGGGAGTCAACACCTGAGAATATATATAGGAGACTGCACTTAGAGGGTTTTGAATTCTTATCCCAAAGGTGTGGCCTTGATCCCACAGCAAGCAACTTCAATGAATAGCTACTGTTCCTCATGTCTTCCTTTCCATACACTGGAGTCTATATGCCTACTGCATGGTAATTTTCTGGTAGCAGCACAGAGGCTACACAGATTTCTAAATTAGCCACTGTCCTTCTTTGACATCACTGAAAGGAATTGTTTATGACTTCAGAGAAGGGAAGAGCCATAAACACGTAAAAATGAAGGAAAGAAAAGCCGGACCCTGACAATTTAACTCAAAAGTCATTTCCAGATGATAATAAAGGGATTCTCCTGTAGTACTTGAGCTTGTGTGTGGTGAGACAGGAATTCAAGATTATCTTGGGCTATCTAGCAAGGTTCTGTCTCAATAAACCAGAGGGGAAAAGTCATTGCTAACGAAAAAGTCTGAAAACATGAACTTTCTAGTTACGGGATAGTTTGAAGCATGGGTGGTCCTCAATTCTCTGTAGGTGGCAACAAACAGAATCTTATTTTTCACTGTGATCAACAATTTGCTTCCCTGTTATTGCTTATTTGGCAATGTTTTCACAGCCTGGAAACCCATAAGGATAGAGAAGTTCCATTAGGTTTTAAAACTGACCATGTGACCCTGATTTAAAATGAGAACTTGAACTTGAAAAAAAACTGTACACAAAGTAACGTTTTAAGCCTAGTTATAACATATATGGTGACATTTTATATGGGCATTTCTACCAAAAAAAAAACCCCACAGAGCTGGGGATGCTGGTGTGGTATGGTATATTTATCAGGGCTGTATTTTTATCCCAACCCACTTCAATAATAATTCCCTGACTAATTACTCTACATGAGATTGAAAATTAATGTCTTCTTGTTTCCCTCACAAAGTTCTTACATATCCAGCAGAAAGTTTCTAGCAATTGCTTGTAGTAGGACTGAGAATTTTCTTTTGTTAGCAAGGATAAACCACATAGTACTTCAGGATAAGAAGTCTCCTAAACTGCCTTATCCTGTACTGTAAAAATGTAGACAATAAGGTGGCCTATGTGTTATCTTTGTGATATATGTAGTCAGTAAGTTGACTCAAGAAAACACCTGGCTTTTATTAACTTTATGGCATGACTGTAGTTTCTAAGGGCCTAATCCCACCGACGAACTCTACTGTTTTCATCAGAAACTGTGAGGGAGAAGAAATCCCATAGAAAATGTCAAGATGGCTTTCATGGGCTCTCATTAGCACCAAACTATTCAGTGGAAGCCAATATCATGCACAGTAAGGAACATTTGATAATAAAATGACTCTATGTTCTTTAATAATTTGATGGTTTTCCAGAGTTGGTTGATTGGTTAAAAATAAATGTGCTAAAAATTAAATAATTCTGCTACATAAGCATTTTCTTTTTTAATTTCTTGAATTAAAATGCATGCATTCTACCCACAATAAAAGACAGACAATAGTGGACACAGATACTCATACATACAGAGACACTCATACATGAAGTACTGGAGTGTTGGAACTAGAGGTGAAAGTCTTGAGTTTGAACTACAATTCTGCTAATATCGTGACCTTTGAAAATAACTTCCTTTCATCAGATTTGGTTTCCTCACTCATAAATGGTAATTCTACCACCAGCTATTCAGATGTGCTTCCACAACCAAATGCTCACTAGTTCCATAGCGAGAATCATGAAATAGCAGTCACATTTCTTCTCGTTAGTGTTTTTATATCTTCCTGTATTAACTAGAACAGTGTCTTAAGTACTTTTTATAACTGCTTATATTCTCCACTGAAGAAAGGATTTTAAGATTGACTGTAGGCAATTTTGTTTCAGCCTCCTTTTTTTCATATTGTGTGAGTTCGAGACCAGCCTGGACTACCAAGCGACTTCCAGGACAGCCTCCAAAGCCACAGAGAAACCCTGTCTCAAAACACCAAAAAAAATGTAATAGAATGGTTAAACCACATTGAAGTAAGTGTTATATGTTGTCACTAAAGAGTCAATGTAAAAACATCTTCTCTAACTGGGATGATATTTTATATATAAATACTTTAATTTATATGGCTTTAAATTACTTTAAATTAATGTAAGATATTACAGAACACTTGGAAAAGCAGTAGAAAAGCTAGCTGCAATCCCACCTCCTTCACA